CTCACCAGCCCAAGGGCAGTAACAAAGGGAGGCATGCCGTCCTATCTCCTGTACTGTCGGTCTCCCCTGTTTCCTCTCTCTAAGACGAGAGAAAGACAGAGAGAGCAATGAGTGCAATGCCCTCACTGCTCCTTCTCCCCAACACACAAATTCACACACTCACACACACACACACACACACACACACACACACACACAGAAGAAAGTACAGACTGTACCACTGCTACAAAAAGACGTGCTGCTAAAAAAAACAAAACAAAGCAAAAAAATTAAAAAGTAAAATTAAATTAAACAAAGAGAAAAAAGCATAAATAAAGTTGGCTGGTCCTCATACGGCAGCTGTCGCAGCAGTAGTCGCCCACATTCTCTTGCTCTGCTCTCCTCTCCCTTCCTCTCTCACACACAAACTCAGCTTCCTCTCCTTCTCACACACACACACACACATCAGTGAACTCGTTCAACTCCCCTGCAGTGCCTCCTCTGCCGCTGCAGCGAGGAGAAATGAATGACTTCTCAGAACTCTCACATTTATCACAGGCGGTTCCTGCAAGAACTGGTTTCAGCCAATTAATGAGGAAGTGAGTCGTACCCGAGCTGTGTCATCACTGGCTGAGACCTGTGGGGGATGGCCCACAGGGGGAGGGTGCTCCTGTAAGACAGCCCATATTAGGAAACCCTTTACAAGATTTAGCCGACAACTAGGCTTACAAGCACACTACTGAACCCCTCCACCACCACCACACACACACACACACACACACACTCTATCTAAAAGAAAAAAGATGCAAGAGACTGCAGAGAAAGCCCTAGAAGAGTGAATCAGTGACACATCCCTGGGTTGGAGTTAGTGATTAATCACTGAATAAATACATACTAAAGCCCTTCACTTATTTTCTTTTGTGGCTATACACAATCATTTACATCCCCTGAACTATTGTTTCATGTTCCACATTCCTCATGTTCCACCGATACATCTTTTGTTCACGCTGGGACAGCATCATCAAAGCTGTGAGACACTTCAAAGATTTTCAGCCAGGTCTGCGTGGGCAGTCATGTCACATACGGTTGAGTTTATAGCTGATAACTTTCTCTGAAGGAGACAAGTAATTTCCGTCCCTTCCCACCTCCACACACAGAGAGACACGCACACACACCTATGTTATGGTGAGAGAGAAAAAAACCAAATTGCATTAAATGATTGAGTTTACTACAAGGAAGCCCTTTAGTAATGATTAACTTTGTACCAGGTAATGGATATCCTACATGTGAATGGATATAATGCAGACAGAAAGTCTAACTGATGAAGCACTTTTTAAATGAAAGAATATAAAATGCGTAGGGCACTGATATCAAAATTAAAGGTAGGATGTTTCTTTATTTTTGGAGGGAAACAAAGCCTCTCCTATTCCCATCCCCCACTTCACAAAATTCCAGACACCTTCACCCACAGAGACTTTAGTAAACAAATTTAAAAATACATAACTCAAATGGAAAGTCAAATGTGGGTTTTCATAAGAAGAATAAAGATTAGAAGACACAGGAGAAATACACCACTAGTTCAGCAAATAAACGTAAACAGGCAAGAACAAAGACCGAGGGAAACAGTTTTCAGAAATGGCGGGCAGATCGTCTCCTACACGATGAGCAATACTGAGTCATAAGCTTGGGCAAATCCACAAAGAAGCTCAAAGCTAGCAGTCTAAAACATGTTTTAATGCCTCAGAGTCAGGATGTCTCTTAGCCTTTCCAGTTAAAATCTGACTGATTTGTGCTTTTTGGGACCATATTTTCACTTTCTACAGAACATGTTGTGAAGTTGGAGCCGAAAATTTCTACTGTAAGTGTGTTTATAATTTACCTGTGAGAACCTGTGCTGAGCAGCTTTCATTGTGTGGAAAAAAAGCAGTTCAGAAGATTTTCTGTCTTGGTCTGAGATAGAATTAAGTCTTTGTTGGCTGGAAATAAATGATAAAATTGCGCAATTTGTGCATGTATGAAATATGTGTAATAAATAGCATTATGTTGTACACTGACTGTTGTATAAGTTCAGTAAAAATTTGGAAAGGTAAAATAGTCAAATCTGAGTTGAGCTGGCAAAGAAGGAAAAAGCTAGAAGGTGAGATTTATAACAGCCATGAGATTTGGCAAATGATTAGCTAGAATTATTTGCTCAGCAGCTACTGAAAACCTTTGACAACAGTTTTATTAAAATCCTGTGTTTTCAGTACAAGTAAAAAGAAAGCCCCCCCACTTCTATTTTTTGGAAACACTGTGGCCTTGAGGAACAGGGAAATAAATAAGTTTAAACAAAACTATTTCCTGCATTTTTAAAAAGAGCAGTCTGATTTCTGCACTCTAAAAAATCTTGCCAAATTTTTATATGAACTATTAAGGCTCATTTTATAACAAACACTGATCACGCCTTGATTATAATTTGGTAAAAATCACTAAAGTTGCTCCACAGAACAGCATGCCTGTTAGTCTGTATAATTTAGCTGTTAATTTGTGTATACAATGCAGATCTACTCATGATGAAAATAAAGCTCATAGATTCATGTCCCTACTTTTAACAATTCAGCATAACAGCTGTAACATAAGTAAGGATAAAATAACATTCAATTTTAGTGTGGCAGTAAACAAGAGAAACTGATGATGAGTTTTCCATGAAGAAATGCTGTATATTAATTACAATGTTCAACGCATATATATAATAATCCTCTCCTTTGTTGGGTTTGTATCCAAAAATATGTGCACATTATAAATTTCTTCTCAAGTACAAAAAACATAGCAGTGAATCCAAATCTACCAGGTCCATAAAATATGTCTTCTCACCTTGTTCCTCTAAAGAGAAAAAACTGAAAAGTCTTAAAATGTAGGTGGTTTTACGACCATTAAACCCTGAATGTGTACATCCTATCAAACTTTATAACTTTATATAGTTGTTTTCAAATTGATTAAATTATTTCTAGAAGTTGTGCAAAAAATCATACGGGGCTTCACTTATCTGAGTTATATACATGATTCCTCTATGTAATTTATTATTCACACTGTATAAGCACATTGTACATATGTGCATGTACTGTAGCTGTAAACATAAGCAGTGTGGCTGGGTGGTGATAAATTTATTAATTTATTAATTAACACAATTAGGTAACGTACTGTAGGCTTCAGTTATTAAGAGCAAATGATTATAGCTCTATCAGATGATTTCCATTTAGTCATAAAATTAATATATTTAACAAATAATGAAATATATTGATCAGATGTAAATATCTCAAAAATGTATTAGATGCAACAAAGGCATGTTTATGTATTAATTAATCAGATGTAGTGAACCATAGAAGCTAAAGGGTTATACAAAAAAATGCTAGTTGTACAAGAGGTATTTAAAGAATATCACCATGTAAAAAATGTCAAACGTCCTTATATAACAGAACAGACAGAAAGCTGGCATGTGCCAGTCATACACTCTATTTGTAGAGAATAGCACTTTTCTAGAATCACAGGGGCCTGATACGGTTTGATCAGCATATCTGAACATGAACAGCCCTCGTCCAGAGATACAGGAGAAATCACAGCACCACAACTCTCCACAGTGCCATCCAACCGTCACTTTTCCCCAGTTTTCCAAATCATTCTCAGTGTGGTCTCTCAGTACATCTGTGCCACACAAACATATGAACAAGACAAAAGTGTCTGACAATTTGTATAAGTGTGTTTAGTGAAATTCAGCAATGCTGCCCATCAGTGGACCCTACAATCAGTTAATTTAAAATGAGTGATTAGTGCATCACGTCCCAAACACACACAAAATACATTTGAATGTTCATTTTGAACATTCAAGAACAATGAATTCTTAATAGTAAAGACAAAATCACTGTAAAAATGAAAGGCAAGTGATTACGGAAGAATATTTATTAAGACCTGGCACCTCCACATCGCCTCTTCCTCAACAATACAAACTCTTTCTTCTAAAACATAAAGTATACAAAAATATTCCCCATGAACTACACAAAAGAAAGCTTCATACTTCCCTCACAGGTGCCAGATATTTTTAAGAACACCTAGTTTTGAGTAATTTCTCTAACAAAGAAAAGTGACCAGATGTTTCAGATCTGGTCGGCACATGATGAATGGAGATGCACCTCTATTGTGATATGTGATCCTTCCAGCCTTGAATACAAAAACATGCTCCTGTTTCCATGAGTCAGAGGCAACCTTTGACCTGCTGCCCAATGGCACATACACACGGCAAATTCACAATTTCTTGTTCTTTTTGCTGAAAAAAATTCCAGAATCCTGCACACACAAGATCACACATGCAGGCGTGCACACTTACACCCTGACGTTCGACACAGCGGATGTCAGAGAACAAGGGTCACGTGACAGCCAAACCCTGGCCAGGTCTGACTGGTTACGACATCATCACAACAACTGGCTTAGGCAATCACTAGTGTTACCCAACGCTCCACAGGGCCACAGTTCACACCTAACATAACAGCCGAGACACCAAGACATGCACACACACTGTGGTTAGGCGGCACTTTGACCTAAGGTGCCGAAGCTCTGACCTCTACACCATCTCTGTGCAAAACATGTTCACTCTGATTCCTTTCTCTTTATCAGCTCACGGCTTGATGAAATACAACCGGTCCAGTTTGATTTTGTTAGTAATGAAATAATGGAATTATGGGAGGAGTGCATTTCATTTTATTGTAAGGAAAAGGTTGATTCACGTGCAAATGTTGTAAGGTAATATCTCTGTGTGTGTTTGTCTGTGTGCCTGTTCCTCCTCCAGCTCAACCGAGCTTTTTCCCAATGACTTCACCACTAAAGCATGGAGCCCACTCCTGGACGGAGATCCCCCTGCCCAGGGTGTTTATCACATCCCTGCTCCATAACCATCTGTGTCAGC